GTGTGAAATATAATGTTCTCAGTGCCACTGTGCTCAACAAGGCAGCCCAAACGACGTAACAGGCAACGTGCTGTCTGCTTAGTGGCGTAACGTTAGTGGATGGGCACGCAGGACACGCACTGCGAAAGGCCCCGCAATAACCTCCCCTTGCTGGGTTGGGTCACTTCAAAAGACGATGATCTTGTATTGACGATAGCCAGAGATACTGTCAAAAACATAAATTGTTGGCAATATTAAGCTATTTGGCATTTCCAATTAATGTAGGCCTGTTGCATTCGTATTTTTATTAGGCCTATTATTTATTATTATTATTATTATTATTATTAGTAAGTTACTTTTATTATTAAATTAAAATTACAATTAATTTGCCCCACAATAATATTGACTGACGTGCTGCGAGGATAACAAAAGACGAGGCCATATATTTACTCCGCAATTAACATGTTTTTAAAAAAAAAAGGTATTTTAAAACAGGTCTATACAATGAATCATACACCTATGATTAAAATATTAACACTTCAGTCATCAATAAAAATCAATGAAATAAAAAGCTTTCAAAAACAACCTGTTTAACACAAAATATGTTTCTTCAAAAAAGAATTTTCACTATGTAATATTAGAAGTAGTTAGCTATATACCGTTATCAGCATATGTTGAAGTAGATTTGTCTCGCCGTCTCTGAGAGAATGTGCGGCGTCAGATGGCGAAAGCTCCGTCATTGCATTTTTACTTTCCCTTTCTGTATAGTGAATTGAATTGAGATTAAGACGTTCACCGGCGTAACTCTTGCGCAAAGTTTGCACGTTGCTTGTGTGTGATATCCATAGGCTCGCCTTCATGGTCTAAAACAGAAATATTTCCAACATTGTGACGTAACCAATTACCCCCGTACTGAACAAACCGAACCGTGAATTTTGTGAACTTTTACACCCCTAATATATATATATATATATATATATATATATATATATATATATATATATATATATATATATATATATATATATACAGTATATATGTGATGTTATTTTTTCTTATTTTCTTGTTATATTTTCATTGAAATACTTATCAGAATGATGCACTTTTTTTCTTCTTGTCTTCATTAACGTTGATAAAATCAAGAAACCTTTTATTACCAAATGTTTCTATGAATACATTTACTTGATTGATCACTGAGATCTTCTTAGCAAAGCAGTTGAAGGCAGGAAGTGATGCAAGCATAAAGAAGCTTTAGCTGGCCGTTAATGTTATCAGGCTGTCGTTTTCTTTGTAATTAGTTTGTAAAAGGCCACTCTGAAAGGGGAGAATACAAAGAAAGATGGCGGAAGAGAGCTGGAGATAGCAGAGGGGCATCAGTAGCGGACCGTTCCCAGGCTCAGCGGTCTCAGAAAGGTGCGGATTGCGTGCCTTTACCCTCAAACTATGAGGACTTGCAGCGAGCAGGGCTTTGCGATTGACAGCTCGGGTCTTGCTTCTAGATTGGATGACCTGGCTGATTAAAAATGCAGCATGTGGACGGTAGGGTCAGAGGAGCTGGAGCCTGCACGACTGGTGATAAAAGCAACCGTGGCGCCACTTCTTGGTCACTATCTCCACCTGTCCATCTGCCCAGCCTTTGGCAGCACTCGGGAAGGGGAGCATTACCCAGCCACTGCTGATGATACCCAGATGATGGGTAGATAACAAGGACACGTTGGCCCAGCGAAGCTCCTTCGGTCCAACTGAACGCGCTCAGGGAATCCTCAGCTTGCGACATTAGCTGTCGTTGAGCAGAGAGAGTGGCGGCTGTGTGTCTGAGAGCTCTCTAATGAATGAGCCCAGGTTTCTTAAGGAAAGGTGCGAGGGTTTCGTTCATAACTGCAGGAAGGTGCAGCCCATGACCCTTACAACTTAAATGCTGCTTTTATTTAGCATAATCTTTCATTGTATTTTTGGAACGCAGTGAGCAGAATACACCCAAACGCCTCTGGGATTGAATAGCTATCTTCCTAGTATACTAAATAGAAAATTTTATAAAATTTGTATGTTTACTTTTTTTAAAAGTGACAGAGTAGAAAAAAATAGCGATAGTAATAGCAGAAACATCTGATGCAAGGGTTTATAAGCCAAACCCGAGTCCACAATTCTTCTTGCAGCTTATTTAACTGAACATTTCAATGTATATAGAAAGTGGCCTTATACAGTATTCATTTTTAGCATGAAAAGTGACAGAGTAGAAAAAAATAGCGATAGTAATAGCAGAAACATCTGATGCAAGGGTTTATAAGCCAAACCCGAGTCCACAATTCTTCTTGCAGCTTATTTAACTGAACATTTTAATGTATATAGAAAGTGGCCTTATACAGTATTCATTTTTAGCATGGACTAACCATTAAAAAAATGCATTTAAATAAATAAACTGTTTCATTTTTATGTAAATATTTAGATTCACAAATTTACTACTATATAAATATGACTTTAAAAATATATAAATACGTATACGTTACTATAAAATATGTAAATAAATACCATTTTAAATATACAGATTTGATTGGTTTCAGAATAAATAATAAACTTAAAATGGATGAATTCATTAATTAATTGACTTTATTTATTTATTTATTTCGGGGGAATATGGGGAAAAATAACAGCAGTACCACAATTCTTCACACACCCTTGTTGATCATTTGATGTGCATTAAAAGTGGCCTTAGACATCATGCATTGAATTAAAGATAATTATGAATTAATTAATTTTTCAAAAAATGTATACATTACTAAATATCTCAATAATACACATTTACATATTCACATATTTTCTTTTTCACATATTCACTTTTTTTATATAATGGAAAAAAATACACAAACACTGTTTTTTGTATATTGTTTTTAGTAACATTTAGTATTAGGATACTGATTTATTTGTTTGTGTGTTAAATCAAGTCATTTAAAATGAGAAGTCTTAATTTTTTCGAGGTAGTGTGAGGGAAAATATCTACACTAAAAGCAACAACATTAACAAAACCCAGTCTGGCTTTTGTTTCCAGGTGTCAATGCGTACACCGTTATGCACCTGAACAAACATTATTTAACTGAAAGCTTGTTTGTACATGCTCTGTGTGTTGGTGGCCAAAGCAAATTTGTAACCAGGCTGTGACTGTGATACTGCGGGTTTATGCGGTCAGGGCCTGTTTCCTGTCCTTATACTGTTGCTCACACTCTAACTCACAACAGATAAACTGCTCTTAACAGTCCAGGAGCCCTCGACCTCTTAAGCCCGGCCATTATGAACCCACTGTATCCTGATCTACAGAGCCAGCTACTGTTCTTATGCTTCAATTATTTATTAGTCAACACTTATTGTCCCCCTGGGCTTTGGAAGGGGTGGAGGAGGAAGGCCAGAGCTTGATTGTGTTTAAGAGGTAACATGGTCTGGCTCTGTTCTGACCCATCAGAGGTCGGTAAGTCACTCTACGATTTATGTCCGCATAATGCAGCTTGCTGGGATAGCGGAGGCCGTGCTCTGGCAGCAGCTAGTGTTACTGTGATTGAGTGGGATGGATAGCGAGCAGATTTCCCCTTCGAGTGGAGGTGTCGGTGTATCTGTTACTCACACAGTAGTGACTGTGCCATGAACCTGGCAGGAACACCTCATCAAGTGTATCTGAACACCTGGTGTGTGAGCACTTATGTCTGCAAGACAGATAGAGAGAAGAAGAGGCAACAAGAGCGACGGGCTCCTTGTGTTCTCCAGATGAGGGCTTGACATCTTTATTATTCACTGCTGTATTATGTACATTGGTAACAAAGGCATGTGTTTGCCTGGAGGTGGGAAGGGAAACCACTGATTGTGCACATTAGTCTGAATACTTGGCGCCTGCTTAGCGAAGCCTCCAAGTGCTCCATCTGTCACTGCCCGTGCTGTCTCTGCTGCTGACAGCTCTGCACTCTTTCATCTGTTCTGCTGTTGCTCACATACCAAAACATACTGTGAACATTTTTGCTGGCTTTCCATAGCCCAAAAATGTTAATTACTAAGTGGGTGTTTTATTGATGCTTTTATGCAAAGTGATGTTACCTGCACTTCTTACAGAGTCATCATAATTTGCTGTTTACTCTTTATTGTTAGCAAGGTGACATTTATTTATTTATTTTTAGTACATAACTAATCTGAAATATATATTTTGGTACATAACTAATTTTTTTTCTGTCTCTTTGCAGTGGCTCCGCCTGGCAGCCCTGGCCCCATTACCCGACATGAGTCGTATGACAGTCTGGCATCCGATCACAGTGGCCAGGAGGACGAAGAATGGCTCTCACAGGTGAGTGTTAATGCATCAGTTAATGCAATTGTTGCTGGTATAAGTCATAAATAATTTCTTACCCCATTGTCAGCTGTGTTCACCCATCATGAATCTGGTCACATTTTTATCCTTTTTTCCCAACTTTTGTCATCCAAAATATTATGCATGATTGCCTGATTTATTAGAAAACATTTTTTTGTCTTATTTTAGTGTTATTTATATAATACTGTAGTATTTAGAATTAGCTTTTTTATTTTTACTTATTAATCATTTATCTTAAACTCATTGAGTTTTTTTGTTTGTTTTGGCAATTTTGTTATGTGATTTTGTAATTTTATTAGTTGTTTTTCACCTTTCATGTCTAATATTTATATTTTATTTTATTTCATCTTTATTTTAACAAACAGTTTTAATAGTTTTAACATAACAATAACTCTATCCATCCATCCATCCAAACATGTACATTGAGATCCAAAAGTCTAAGAACATAATAAAAATGGTTCTTGTTTGCCATTTAATATGCTTATTTTAAATTACAAAAGGTATTATCAGCATAACCATTTTAATCAAAAGTTGTAATCGATCGATTCAATATTTCCTAGTATTCTGCTTAATAACAACAACACTTGAGTGCAGAAGTAGTTAGAATATTAAATATTTCATAAATATTTATTTCACATCATGAAATATTTTAGTTTAAACTTTTCAAAATCTCACAACTTTTATTTCCCATTTTAAATTAGGTTCATAATCCCAGATTTACAATGTGGTCTGAGACTTTTGTAAGTTTTATGATCTAATACTCTGGGCTATGCAGATGCAGCATGCCCAGCATGTGTGTGGCAGTTTTTGTGTGGCCTGACCAGCCCCAGCCAAAGCTCTTAAACCTTAAGGTTGTTAATGCACCAGCGTTAGCGACAGCATACATCCCCCATCACATCCCGCCTGCCTAATGACACCATTAACACTTGCAGCGACAGCTATTGGCTAAACACAGCCTAAACCCTGTTGATGGCTCTATTTATCTGCTTTATATGCGATTGCAATTAGTTTGCTTGTCTGTTACGTGGCAACATAGCATAAAAAACACAGTTCTCTGTGAGTGCTATGGCAGCAGGCTGTGTGTAATAAGTGCTGTCAGTGTGAGGCGGCCGCAATATGGCGGGCTCAAGGCGAAGTGCGGAAGGGGGCAACATCTGGCCATGGCCCCCACGAAAGCAGAAAAAAGACAGCGCCGCGTCTGTTTCTCTCAGGGCTGTGTGGCACCATTGGTGTTACCTACAGAGAAAAAAACACACACATACCTCTGGCCTCATTTACACACATGTGACAGGAAGAGGACAGAAGAGTTGACCCCACGCCATGCTCTTTCAGAAAAGATGGAGAAATGAAGAGGAGAGAGGGATGCTGGCTGGATGGACGGTCGTCTTCTCCACTTCTCCCTCTCTCTTGCTTCATGATGTTAGTGTCTTTCTGTGCCATGTTAATGCGGTCCACTGGGGAGGAAGAGTGGCGTCTGTCTAACCTCCCTTCCCTTCCCCAGATTTGATACTGCTGGTCAAAAACAGACACTTGTCCACATGGTGTGTGTGTGTGTGTGTTTCTTTGTGCATATTTGAACTGTTGGTGTCACAACAACCCCAGTTTAAGAGTCCTTAAATATGGTATTATATAAAGTTTTTTTTTTTTTTTTGTTTAATGTTATTATAAATTTTATATGATATTAGTGCTGTCAAACGATTAATTGCATACAAAATAAAAGTTTTTGTTTGCATAATATTTGTGTGTTCTGTTATGTTATTATGTACTGTATATATAAATACACACACATACAGTATATATTTTGATAATATTTACATGTATTTACATGTCTATTTATATGAATGTAATTTATATTATAAATAAATATATTTAATATATGAACATAACATATTTTTCTGAAATATATACATCCATGTGTGTGCATTTATATATACATAATAAATATACACCGCACATATACATATATTATGTAAACAAAAACTTTTATTTTGGATGCGATTAATCGTTTGACAGCACTATATGATATTAGTTATGTGTTTCAGCTATTATAAAGTGTTTTTCAGTTAAGTTTCATGTATTAGATTTCGAAGATGTGCTAAGTGATGAAAACAAAATGGAACATCACTTTTTTTTAATCACTTAATTTTAATAGTCATATGAAATTTAGGAATAAAATAAAATTAAATATTTTAAGAAAAATTATTATTATTATTATTTTCTTTAAATGCTATATATACTGTACCTGTACATGGACCCCCAGTAATAATATAAAATAGTTAATAATTTTAATAATTAGTGCATATTTGAACTGTTGGTGTCACAACAACCCCAGTTTAAGATTTTGATAATATTTACATGTATTTACATGTCTATTTATATTAATGTAATTTATATTATAAATAAATATATTTAATATATGAACATAACATATTTTTCTGAAATATATACATGCATGTGTGTGCATTTATATATACATAATAAATATACACCGCACATATACATATATTATGTAAACAAAAACTTTTATTTTGGATGCGATTAATCGTTTGACAGCACTATATGATATTAGTTATGTGTTTCAGCTATTATAAAGTGTTTTTCAGTTAAGTTTCATGTATTAGATTTCGAAGATGTGCTAAGTGATGAAAACAAAATGGAACATCACTTTTTTTTAATCACTTAATTTTAATAGTCATTGTGTGTTCTGTTATGTTATTATGTACTGTATATATAAATACACACACATACAGTATATATTTTGATAATATTTACATGTATTTACATGTCTATTTATATGAATGTAATTTATATTATAAATAAATATATTTAATATATGAACATAACATATTTTTCTGAAATATATACATCCATGTGTGTGCATTTATATATACATAATAAATATACACCGCACATATACATATATTATGTAAACAAAAACTTTTATTTTGGATGCGATTAATCGTTTGACAGCACTATATGATATTAGTTATGTGTTTCAGCTATTATAAAGTGTTTTTCAGTTAAGTTTCATGTATTAGATTTCGAAGATGTGCTAAGTGATGAAAACAAAATGGAACATCACTTTTTTTTAATCACTTAATTTTAATAGTCATATGAAATTTAGGAATAAAATAAAATTAAATATTTTAAGAAAAATTATTATTATTATTATTTTCTTTAAATGCTATATATACTGTACCTGTACATGGACCCCCAGTAATAATATAAAATAGTTAATAATTTTAATAATTAAAAATGTGAAATAGATATAATATGAATATATATACTTTAGGAACATTTATTATTATTATTATTGTTATTATTATTATTATTATTTTTTAAATTTTCATATATGTCTACTTATTGAAAACATTTGTTCTAATAAGAAATGTTTCCGATTGCGAATTGTGATTGTTATAACTGTTGATGTTGTGCGAGTGGAGAAAAATAATAATACATTTTGATAAAATCCTGATGCATAGAATAAAGTCCTCTTTGATACTCCTGACTATTGTGCATTCAAAAATATATAACTTTGCTGAAGTTAAATTTGTTGCAAAAGCTGTTTAAGTGCTCATCTCTTTTGGCGTTATACTTTACAGGTGGAGATTGTGACCCACACAGGCCCTCACAGGAGACTCTGGATGGGCCCTCAGTTTCAGTTCAAGACCATCCATCCATCGGGTCAGACCACTGTTATCTCCTCCAGCTCCTCTGTACTGCAGTCACAGGGGCCCAGCGACACCCAGCAGCCTCTCCTTGATTTCGACACAGACGACCTGGACCTGCACAGCCTCAGGTGCCGACACTAAACACACAATGCTGCTCACATTACCAGCTGCCATCATCAACACCCAATTCACAATGTGACAGCATAGACTCATGTTACTAACCACAGAAATTCACTAAATACACATATTGACCAACTGTAGCCAGCACTTGCACTGTACGAACACTGCTATCTCTCTATCTATCATTCGTTTCATCATTTGTTCATCTGTCAATTTATCTGTCATCTGTCATTCTGTCTGTTGTTTTATCATTCTGGATGTCTCCCTGTCTGTCTCTGTTGTCTCTGTTCTATCATTTTATCTTTCTATAATTTCAAAATTTGGTGGCGTTTTTACAACAAATATTGAGAAATGTTTAATTAATATATAAATTCTGTATTAATCAGCATACCATGCCATTAAACAAGATTTATAGACCCTCTTAATTCACACTTCACATCGCTAACTGTCGTCACGCATGCTATTGTAGCTAATGCTAGTGTAATGTTCATTAATCTTCATTTGATCCTCTAACTCTAGCACATTATATTCTAATTCTATTTTATATCTATTTGTTTTCTTTTTCTTTTTTTAATTTAAAAAACACTTGACCCCTTAACACTTGCAGTCTATTCTATTTCTATTTTAACTACTTGTTTTCTTAAAAAAAGCCTATAACACTAGCATTGCCTATTCTTTTTATATTCTATATACTTGTTTTCTTTTTATTTGTTATAAAAAATGACCCTCTAACTCTAGCATTCTCTATTCTTTTTCTATTCTTTTGACTTGTTTTATTTTTATTTAAAAAAAGACCCACTAACACTAGCATTTCCTATTCATTTTCTATTTTATCTTCTTGTTTTTTAAAATTTATTATAATAAAAACCCTTGCTACATGTACTGCATTAGGCTAACTGAGACTTGTCACAGCACTTACATATTATTGCTCTTTTGTTGGTTTTGATTGCTTCTGTTATCCTCATTTGTACAGAAAGTCGCTTTGGATAAAAGTGAATGTAAATGTAATGTGTAGGAGTCTTAATTCACAATTTTTGGATATCTCTTGTCCTTGTGTTGCAGGATCCAGCCAGTGCGTTCAGAACCCGTTAGCATGCCTGGTTCCTCTCGCCTGGTGGCCGACCGTAGAGGCCAGTCGACAGTCATAGATACCGGCTCAGGTAAGACCGCTGGCTGCTCTTATGGTTTTTCCCACAGGATTACAAACAACAGTTATCAGTATGACGAATCTGCAAGAATCCTCTCTAGCTTGACTCCACTTTCTTTGCTGAGCATGTGAACACTTTAAACTTCATGGTATGTTACACAGAAACTGTTACAACCCGGCTGAAAAACTATCAGCAGTCTACATTTGGTAAATAGGCTTATTGTGACCTTTGCGTTAGATTAGATGGATGTTGTTTAAAGGGATTTTGATTTTCCATTCCTCCAGTTGTCATGTTAAGATAATCCAATCAACAAAAGCTTGTACTTTTAAAAGATTTCTCTCCATTTTGAGCCTCCATATATGTAGTTATACAGTCTAAACAAAACAAGAGAGAAAATCAATTTCAGGGAAGCAAAGTACACTGCTCTGTTTGCTCTTTTTCGGTCGCGAAGTGATATTTTGCTGTGTATGCTCACACATACATGTGTACGGCACAGTCTTTCATGTTTCATTGAAATCAAAGCACCGCATTTGCAATGCTCTGAAATGTGGTTTGTCAGTAGAAGGTAGGCCATGTTGACTGTTGTGATGGTTAGTGCTTGGCCTGTAGACACACATTAGCTGCATGGCACTGTCAGGAGTTTTCATCTTTGAGATTGCACTGACTCTCTGCGGTGTCTTCAGACATACCTGCTGTTCCTTTGCATCTAGTGACTTCCTGTCAAGAAAACTGTGTTGTCATCATCTCACGTCGCCCCTCCTTTAAACCTTCACCTCTAAAAGAAAGAAAGTAACCATCTTTATCACACAGCTCCCCTCCCTCTCTTTCTCTCTTCTCCGGCCCGTCTGGAAGAGAGCTGCCGGAGTCGTCTTTATGGGCCGATGCTTATCAGTCTGTGTGTGATTGCTCAGCTCTCAGGGCTTCAAGCAGTGTGGCGCCTCCTCTTATCAGTGCTCATCGCTTTGTCTTTGTGCCTTCAAAAGACCGCACAGCAGACGCACCTCCTCTACCGCGATGTCTCTCTCTAGTCTCTGTGATTTTAGTCTTGAAGGATCTGATGCTGTCCTGCAGTACAGTGTCTCTGTCTTGTTTTCTGTTTAGGCCCGGTTTAGACTGTCTCGCCCATTTGCCCAGTTTTATGTCTTCTTGCATTGAAGTGCATTCTGTTCCAATACCTAGTGAGCCTAAGTAGACACTAAGTAGGCATTTTTAAGGCAACTTAATTGCCCTAAAGCCAGCATTTATTTATATGGTTATTTCAGATGCCCAAGGCATCTGAATTTTTTTCCTCCAGAGCTTAACCTGTTGACTAAAATGTAGAATAAAATAAAATAATTAATATATAATATATTTACGTTTTATGTTTACATTTTATTATATTTTATTCTATATTGTATATATATATATATATATATATATATATATATATGAATAATAGAATGTATAACTAACTAGCTAAAGGGTGTTTTCTCCAGAACTTCATTTGTTGGCAAATTTGTAGAATAAAATAAAATAAAATGTATTAATAAAAATATTTGTATTTCATTTTTATTATTAGAACTTTAGTCTCGAATAAACAAAATTGTCAACATGTTTTTTTTATTTATAATTTTTACATCTTGCAACACAGCACATACAATGTGCATACAGTATGTACTTTTTTCTTTTTATAAGAAAAAAGTTATTTTTAGCATTTTAATTTAATTACAAATAAAATAATTATACAGTGGTGTGAAAAAGTGTTGGCCCCCTTCCTGATTTCTTATTTTTTTGCATGTTTGTCACACTTTAATGTTTCAGATCATCAAACTAATTTAAATATTAGTCAAAGATAACACAAGTAAACACAACATGCAGTTTTTAAATGAAGGTTTTTATTATTAAGGGAAAACAAAATCCAAAACTACATGGCCCTGTGTGAAGAAGTGTTTGCCCCCCTGTTAAAACTGTGGTTTATCACACCTGAGTTCAATTCCGCTAGCCACACCCAGGCCTGTGGTCAGTTTGGTGGTTTTCAATCATATAAATTGCATAAGCTAATTGTTTAACAAACAAGCCCAAGTATGCATGTACTGCATCCAATCAGTCATCACAACGTTAGCCTACTACACACACACACTGCAGAGACGTTGGTGCTGATGTAAATGTCGACAGCCACACTTATGACGAGGGCTCAGCAGACAGACGTTATGATTCATGAGTGACAAGTTTTTAGCATGATAAGTTATAACGTATCTGATTTTGAATGTAGTGACTGTATATTCAAGTAATCACAATGCCTAAATATAAGTTAAAGAGTTGGGAGAGTGACTCAACTCTCAAAACGTGAATTATTGTGGAGTGAGATGACACGAAGGCTCTATCACTGCAACTCCGAAATCAAAGCACATTTGAATTAATCAAAACCGAAACTAAATATGTTGGTTTATACGGTCCTGTCTTTTATCTTTTAAACGGTCCAGATTGATAAATCCTTTAAAACTGCTAGACATGATTAGTTTTGACAGTGCAAAGTTCTGTATTATGTTCTACAATATGAACTTAACAAGAGGCTTCCAGTTCTGTGTAAAATTATAGAGCGACACGAAGGTAAGCGCATTATTGTTTTTTTTGTTTTTTTAATAGTCAGATTATAATTCAGTATGTAGCCTATCAATGAATGACATCGTTTTGACTGTCATGGTGTGTGCATGAACGAGTGTGAAATACCTGCAACGTTGCTTTTTCCTATCACTTATATTGGGCACTTTTTGCATTTAAATTGGATTATTCTGACTGCTGACGTTGAAAATGATGCATTTCTTGATTGCTGTTTTGACAGTGTCTGCTTGAATATTTTATTCATGTTCGGTAGCCTAATTCCCTTTAATGTAGGCTATTTGCCCCGATACGATCCGTTTTATAAATTATTTTGTCAACATTATTTTGTTTAAAGGAGTTAAAAATGGCCCTTATCAACCTTGATTTACATATTCCATCACATTATTTTGACAGTTAAAGTTTTGGGAGGGTTTTTGTGAGCGTGAGCTTTTGGGCTGGAAATCGTCCATCCAATCTGGCAACACTGGTCGAGAGATTTCCTCAGTCTAGAATTTACCATTATGCATGTATTTTAGATGCCTAAAAGGGTCCTTTTTTCCCCTCCTCCAGAACACAAAATGAATTAAAATACAGTAAAATAAAATGAAAAAAAAAACAAATTATAAAATAATTTAAATTTTAAAAAAAGAAAAGAATTAATACCAAAAAAGAGAAAAATTTATGTATAAGTAAACGTTTTATCTCAGATGCCCAAAGAGCCCCCCCCCCGAACACAGAAGAAAATAGAGTAGAAAATAAATAAAATAATTAAATCAAGTAAAAAATAAAATAAATAAAATATAAAAAATAAATTTAAAAAACATTGTAAAATATTTTTTCTCAGATGCCTTTTTTCATAAAACACAGAAGAAAATAATAGAAAATTCTATATAATATTAAAATGATTAAATCAAGTTTATAAAAAAAGTATTTTTTTAAAGTATAAAGTATATATGGTGTATATGTGTGTATATATGTGTATATATATATATATATATAGAGAGAGAGAGAGAGAGAGAGAGAGAATTAAAAAATGCCAGATGCCCAAAGGTTCTTTCTTTTTTCAGTCCACAACTCAACAAATATGTAAAATATTTCCCACATGTTGCCACCTAAACAAACATAGCAGTAACTAAATGCATTTGGAGTTCACATTTCTGTGGTGTCAGGGTGCGATTGAAACATGTGGCATGTGATTTTAGTCACAAAAATAGAATTTTTTTTTCATTTATTAATTGTATTCAATTGTATAGTTAGTACCAAATATTTACTTGAATCTACATTAGTGCAGTCATGGCGGTGGTCAGTGCTGATTGCCGTTATCACATTGGGACTGTAAAATTCCTCTCACCGATACTTATCACCGGCAGAGTGTGTGCCATGTGTTTTATCTACTGCCCTCACACAGCCCTCATCTCAGGTGCAGAGAGTGTGTGTGTGTGTGTGTGTGAATGGCAAGACAAAGCCATCTCTGTGTTTTAGTGTGGTATAGTGCGCTCCTCTGTACTGGTTATGCCTTCAGGCCAGTGGGACAGGCCTGATCGCTCCCCTGGTTTCCTCTCCTAGCATGGCTGAGCGCTCAGAGACCGGGCACCTGGACTCTACCTGCGTCCAGCAGTAATGGATCCTCACCCGTGGTCTGTAATTACCTGGATGGGCATAAAGGTGGCTTGTTGTCAGAGATACTGCGCACATTCAAGACAGAAGGATCCTGACGCGCTCGAGGAGGAGCCTGTGCCACATGATCTCCCCGAACAATGAGAGGTGTTTTTGAGCCACCTATAGATCGGGGAGCCGTTCCCGTGACCCAGCGCTCTCCCTGCCGCCCTAGCCTGTCTCTTTCAATAGCGACTCGCCACCTGCCCCAGGCCCCCTCTCTGCCACACTCACTGACTCCATTCTTCTGCTCCTGACCTGGAAGTCCCCTCCACAATACAGAACCTGTTGCGGACGCCTGGCCAGATTGGCTGATCTGACTGTGAAAGATGCCATTCTTATCATCAACCTACTGTCTGAAAGTCAGAAGACCAACAGCCTTATCTCACACTGCCATCTCTTTCCCTCTTGTTTCTCTCCTTCTTTCTCTTTCTGCTTTTCCTTTTTTTTCTGTGTAAATTGCAATTTTTTTGTTTCAAGCTTTGTTGGCTTAACTGTGTTATATATGATAGTGCCACAGCATCAGTAAAAAACAACAGCAAAACAAGTGGCCAAAAGCAAGGTGCCAGTATCATTTTTCTTTTCTTTTCTTTTATGTATTTGTGTATTTTGTTGTATATAGAATAAGTGTTATTTATGAAATACAAACGTAAGACAATTATTATAGATTTTTTTATTAATAAAATAAAATGTAAAATAAAAGGCAATATACCATAAAATAACAATCGGATTTCACAGCAAATATTACTAAGATAAAATATCATGCTCTAGCAATA